CAAACATTAGCAGACATTAGTGACTATGGATGCAAAGTATTTCTACAAAATGCAAACAACATAATTGAGGTGCTGCTGTTTGAAGCACCTGGCATTCTGTCCGAGTCCCACACTGAGACCGATGTGGGCTGAGAGTACAGGAGCTCAACATAAGGGCTTACGAGGTCAAAGATGCTATATACACACACAAACATACCCTTTCTATTCTCAGTCACACAGACTTTCACATATGGTAGCTGCCACCTACTTATGTGTGTGCATAAGTGTAGTATAACCAGATTTTTACATTCTCGACAGAAAAGTGTGTTTTTCTGTACAAAATGGCATGGAGCTGCAGGGCATTGCGTTTGTATGTGGCTGCTCACTGGCCCAAATCAACCTTCTCTCCAAGTCTTACACTGCACTTAACCCAGGGTTATCATCTTTTTTAAACGCTGCTTTTAACCCTGGCTAAAGCACGGGTGTAATTTGGAAGAGGATTAGCACTGCTTTTAACCCTGGGATCTGAAGCCCTGCTCTGCAGTTTTAACCCCTGCAAGAGAGAAACAGTCCATTACTTACACAACAGGTCTCATACTGTGTTTGTATAATTAATAATACTGACACTTCAAATATGCAAATAAGAATGTTAACTCATACAAAGCACAGCATAAAACCCCAAAACCTGAATACCCGAGATTAACTGAACAGTGTAAAGATGGGGAAAGATAATCCATGGTTCTGTTAACTCTTGGTTTAGTGTCAAAACGAACCCTTATGATAAGCCTTATGATTCTTGTCTTAAGATATGGCCCAGGTATATGAATTTTTTTTTTTTTTTAAACACACACTTTATTTTATTTTATTGATTGATTGATTGATTCGTTGATTGATTGATTTATTGATTCGTTGATTGATTGATTGATTGATTGATATTTTATTGATATTTTCTGGCATAATGTTAACAATGTCAGGGTGTTGCAGCTGTCCAAGCATGATAATAAAGAAATAAGTCTAATTAAAAGAATGAAATCCTTGAAAATAAATGTTAAGGGTTGTATATTATTATTATTATTAGATGTTGTTGTTGGTGTAAAACAAATACCAAAATTGCTTCACTGCTTATTTGAAAAGTCAAATCAAAATGTTTTGGTGCAACCAATATGGAATGAATGAATGAATGAATGAGGGAGACCCTCACAATTTTGGTCAAGGTCAATAATTTGACCTTATTATAGAAGTGTAAGGCAAATTTCCAGTTTTGGGGGTAATGCATTACAAGATTACAAGTTACAGAATCAGATTGCTATTTTCAAGTAACTAGTAAAGTGACACATTACTTTTTAATTTACAAGAATATATATTTTTCAAATAACTTGATCAAATAAGTAATGCCAGTTACTTTGTTTCTCATGTACTGACTGACAGCTCTCCTGTCCTCATGTTGAGAGAAATCAGGAGTGAGTGCAGAGGTGTTGTGTGTGAACATGATCTTACTGTAGATCTAGACTAAATGTGAACATGCATTTATTCATCTCACTTGCACAAAAACAGACTCACTATTCCCCAAAATTAATAAAACAGTGAAATGCAAACGCAGAATATGATGCAAACCTGCCTATGTTAAATAACACAAATATCCTTTATGTATTTAATTCCACTTTATTAACCAATTCAACAATATGCCAATAAGCAAAATTTACTTTAAATAAACATAACATTTGTGTATTATGTATATATTTATTTCTTTTAATTGCTGAAGAGTGTTGAACTTTTTTCTGCGTCCTATTCTTCATGCAACTCAGAATGGCAGCACAATTGAGAGGTTTGTTTGAGCTGCGCCCTCTACTGGACAGACATGAGTAAGCCCAGCTCAGATGAGGAAAACAGTAACACATTACTTTCCATAATATGTAACGCAATATTAATAATTTATAAATGATGGATACACCACATGACATTTTAAAGTTTAGATATTAAATTTAAAATGAAATTATTAAACCACATACCATAAGAATACATTTCTAAGAACCTGGCACATGTGTCTTAAACGAGCTTTTATAAAGATTTGTCCTTTTCTTTTACTGTGAAACCTCTTTTTGCACTGTAAGACCCAGCCCTCGCTAATTGTAGCGATGGACAGTTGCTGTCATTAGATGAGATTGCTGTCAGATGTGTGTATTTCCTCCTTTATCTGCATTTGGGTCATGTGCGGGCAACTTGACTTCTTTATGAGTTTTTTTGACTGTAAAATGTATGGCAGTTGACCTCCATAATATGTAACGCAATATTAATAATTTTTACTTGATGGATACACCACATGACATTTTTAAGTTTAGATATTAAATTTAAAATGAAATTTCGAAACCATATACCATAAGAATACATTTCTAAGAACCTGGCACATGTGTCTTAAACGAGCTTTTATAAAGATTTGTCCTTTTCTTTTACTGTGAAACCTCTTTTTGCACTGTAAGACCCAGCCCTCGCTAATTGTAGCGATGGACAGTTGCTGTCATTAGATGAGATTGCTGTCAGATGTGTGTATTTCCTCCTTTATCTGCATTTGGGTCATGTGCGGGCAACTTGACTTCTTTATGAGTTTTTTTGACTGTAAAATGTATGGCAGTTGACCTTTATGAAAGAAAATCCGAGGGGATGTCAGCTTTAGAGAGGACATCTGAAAGGTTTGCTGTCAGTGAGTGGAGGAAAGGTAAATAGACCGAGAGAAAAAAGTAAAAAAAAGCCCAGAGAAAAGGCTGAGGTGACACAGTCTGCTCCAGACATTCTCATGACTACCTGCAAGCCGAGAGCGATGTTGTTGCATTGACCTTACACTGACCCCAGCAATTGTCTACATGACCTTTGACCTCCATGTTGACTCCACTCCACTGAAAATGTATTGAATATACTTACTGGTGCTGTGTCTCAATGTGCCTACCTATACTACACCCTTAAAGTATGTACTCTTTTGGTGAAGAAAAAGTACACACTTTTGAGTGTGTAGTAGAAGAGTAGGCAAGCTTTGGGACATACTATCAGGCCACACGATTGCGTCTCTGTTACACGCACCCTGTCACTGTAAACTGGCCTGTCAACCATCTTGTCAAAGTTAACATCCTCCACATTTCATTTCATTTAACTTCCTACCGTACTGGAGAGAAAAGAAGTAGCCCATTGATCTGCCAGTCGCTAATGATGCATTTAAAAGTTCACGACCAAATGGATGTTTATAAAAGTTCACATTACTGTCGCAGATGAAATAGAACACGGATAACAATAAACAAATTTTTTTTACCAGGTTAAATGTTGATTATTAGTAACTCTCAAACCCCT